TGTCTGGGCTTGTGGCTACGGCACAGACTGTGCCTACGTCTTGTCTGGTGCCTCCTCAAAAACTCTCTGTCGGGTGAGGTGAAGGTAGGCCTTGCCAAGATCTACCCCCTCAAAGCGCATGACTTTCCCCAGGGTGTTTTCTGACGAGACTGTTCCCCTCGATCCTCCTCCAGCCTCCGGATTGGATCCCACGCTCAGAGCTTTCTCTCCTGCTTCCTTAGGCCTTGGGTCCTGGAGCATCTGGAGAAGGGAGAGGCCCCTTTCTTCGCAGGGGTAAACTGTGTCGTTACCATGGCGATGCGGTGGCGAGCAGGACCACGTTGGAACCCCTTTGGTTTTATTGTGGACATCAGTGTGGGAGTCTTCCTAGTGTCCTGCCCCCTCCTTTGAAATCCATGCCCTCTTCACGACTGGGAAAATCTGGGCACACATCTCGCCCCGCGTCATGCACACCGCCCCCGCTGGGCTCGCCAGAGCCGGCACGCAGGGCCTGTATTCAGACTCAGCAGTTAGCAGCCCCCTCCTATTGGCCTGCGTGGGAGACAATGAAGTCAATGGGTGAGAAAGGAAGACGATGGTGCACTGCCCGGTGTGGCTGAGCGGTCAGAGTGTTGGGTCGTGGGTTTGATTCCTGGTCAACGGCAGGTACCTCAGATGCAGGCTTGATCCCCAGCTCCCGGGACATGTGGGAGGCAGCCAATCGATGTGTCTCTCTCACATCAATGTTTCTCTTTCTCCCCCTTCCTTCTTCCCTTCCACTCTCTCTAAAAAATCAATGGAAAAAATATCCTTGGGTGAGGATTAGCCAAAGAAAGGAAGACAATGGTGAGGGAACCTGTGAGGGGAACCAGACCGAGTCCACGGTTCCTGGAGCCACTTCAGTGCCTGCAGTCTGTGCTCCATGAGCTAACGGATGCCCCACCTTTCCCGGAGCTCATTCAGGTTTGATACACCCTCCGCCACCCCCGCCCCCCTCCACTGCACTGCTCCCGCCTGGATGCTGCACATGAAAGACTAAGATGTGGGAGCTGCGTGTCCGAGGCTGACAGGCGCAGGGAGCCCGGAGCCACGGTGTTTAGAAGTTGGTGTCACTGTTTCTGTCGTTTCTCAGGATTCCAATCAGGCACCTCTCATGGGGAGCGGAGGCCCGTGAGCACGCGGTGGAGAAACGTGAGGGTGTCACGCCTGCAGATGCTTCTTCCTGCTCCGTGACGCGGGGCAGCCGCAGTCCTGGCCCGTCCACGTGGAGCTCAGGAAAGAGCCTGCTTTGGCAACAGCCGTTTCTAGGGAGGAGCTGGGACCGAGGAGAATCCTGGCTCTTATTCCTCGAAGTAGAGCCTCCAGATAGGAATTTTTTTTTTAATTTTTTTATTGATTGAATTGAGAGAGGCAGGGGGGAGACATCAATTTGTTGATCCACTTATTTTTGCATTCATTGGTTTCTTCTTGTATGTGCCCAGACCGGGGATCGAACCTGCAACCTTGGCATAGCAGGATAACACTCTAACCAATTGAGCTATCAGGCCAGGGCTCCAGATACGAATTTAAGAGACAGCGGAGCATGTTTCCAGGCAGCTGCGCTGCTCAAAAACCCACCAGCGGGGGAGGGTGTCCCTGGGCAACAGCCTCCAGGCTCACAGTGTTCGAGAAGGGAGTGCACTATGCATGGCCGGCGGGGCGATGGGGACAGGCACCTGCCGTTACTCCTATGGCTCCTTAGTCACCTCCTCCGTGTCTGCCCAGCACGATCCAGACCGAGCTCGCAGTCCGTTAACAGTGGGTGTCGCCTTGCCTGTCTTCTGCTCTAATACGAGCCTAAGGCTGTGCTGGCGAAGGCATCGCACGGCGACCACAGTCTTTGGGCTCTGCCGACCCAGCTCAACAGCAACGCGTTGTCTTCATCATCATCATCACTGTCGTCGTCATGGCGCGTGGGGCTCACTCGGGTTCCTGCACCCTCTCGCCCTCCCTGGCCCTCGGAAGGAGGCCGAGCCCCCTTGGATAAGCCTCCAATTCTTGAACAAAGCAGGTGGCCGGCGGTGGCCTGGAGGGTCACACTGGAGTGCAGCTCATACGGGCCTGAGGACTCGCAAGGAAACGGGCGGAGGTTGACTGATGTAAGCTGGCCAGCGGTGCCCAGCAGTACCATAAGCCATGTAAAAACCTAAGTGTTTTTAATGGTTTGCGTATTAACTGTCCTTGCAGCAAGAGCACCGTGACCCAGTTCCCCACGCTCCCCTCTTTCAAAACTATCAGTAACCCCACTTAACGGAGGCTGAGGTGCTAAATCGTGTCTCACGGAGATGCTGCCTGGACCGGATTCTGGGTCTGTTCAAGGTGGAGCCCACGCTGTCAGCCTAGACCCAACCTGTCTCCCTGGGCTCCCCGACCCCAGCTTTCTAAGGAGGGGGCGGGGTCTGCACAGTTGCTGAGATGGTGCTCAGCTCTCATGGGAGGTCAGCCACGCGGTGACCTCGCCGCACTCTCGGCAGTGCCTCCCTTAGTTAAACTCGCATCAGCTCTAACTGTGCAACTGAGCCTCTAAAATGGCACGCAGATCTGACTGTTGATGTAACAGAAAACAAAACAAAACATTTCAACCGGTGACAGTCACTGGGTTTGAAACCTGAGAAAGTGGCTGCGCCGCGAAGCGGTCCCGCCGCCCTGGCGCCTCTGCCCACAGTACCTGCTCTTTTCCGTTTAGGCCCCTCTAGGCGCGCCCACCCGGAGGCCTCCATGCACATCCCAGTGAGTGCGGAGGTTCAGTCTGTTCTCTTCCCTGTACAGACGGGCGTGTAACACACTGTTGTCGTCTGCTTTCCTCCCTCTGTTCTCACACCAGCTACGCGTGCCTGACAGCTGTGCTCTGCGGTGCCCGCCGCGGTGCCCTCTGCTGCCAACGCTCCTCCCGCCACCACCAGATGGAGCCCTGCTCTCCTCCCTGAGCCTGCGCTCAGGTCACCCAGGCACATCTCCCCTCACCCCCCTATTTAGAATTGCACCCCACACCCAACCCCTCTGTCGCCACTCTGCTTTTTAAAAAATATATATTTTCATTGATTTCAGAGAGGAAGGGAGAGGGAACGAGAAATAGAAACATCAATGATGAGAGGGAATCATTGATTGGGATGCCTCCTGCACGCCCCCTATTGGGGATTGAACCCCCACTTGGGCATGTGCCCTGACCGTGACCTCCTGGTTCATAGGCTGATGCTCAGCCACTGACTCAGCCCGCCGGCCCTGCTCTGCTTTTGTTAATGCCACTCACCACCTGTGACATGCACATCACTTACTTACTGTCTGTCTGTCCCTCCACGAGCCCTGCCGGTTTGTTTACTGGTGATTTCTAAGTGCCTGGCACTTAGATGATGCCCAGTGAGTGTTGAGCAAACAATACCCGGCCCCAGTTTTATCCTCCCTTAGAAGGTTTTCTCTCCTTTGCTTCCCGGGCAGCCGGCAGGGTGTATTAAACTTTGCCATCACGTGAGCAGAGCGGAGGCGTGATCAAGGATGGTGGGGGAGAAAAGCAGACGAGAGAACAGTGCGGGGAGGAGGCGGGCACAGCCACCCCCACAGCGTGCTGAGGGCGCTGGCGCGGGCCGTACCTGGTCCGTGCACCAGTACCAGAGGGACGGCATGGTCATTCCAATCAGGATCCCGGGCCACGGGAGGTCGGAGGTCAGCGGGTCTCGGAAGATATGAAAGGCATCCTCCCGGGGCAGCCCGCAGCTGCTGTTCTCAGTCCGGTTGGTGGCCAGGGCCAGGAAGTACTTCTCCATCAGGCCGTCCAGCCCTCCGACCGCAGCAAAACCTGGACGGCAGAGGGAGCGCTTGCCAGGAGCTCAGAGGGAGCCCAGCAGTAGCAGGATTGGTGGAGATAGTGAGACCCCACTCAGAGGACGGCTACCAAGGAAAGTTAGCACCTTAAGGGTCTCAGCCTCTTTTTTTGTGTTTTTAATGCCTTTGGTAGCGAGTATGGATTGCTTTTCAGAATAATATTGCTAAATGCATCACACAAAATAGGTAGGCTTGTCAAGGAAATCAAATGTAGGAGAGGCAATCATCAAAACGTAAAAGCTACTATGAGCTAGTAATTTATGTATTTGCCCATTAAGTAGTAAAAACCTAGCAGGGGGGCTAATAACAATTTTGTTTCAAAGTAGCCCTGAGCACAAACAGGGTTTCAATGCATCAGCATCAACTGTAAGAACATCTGGATAAGAACATCTGGGGCATCCTGGGGTACCAAAGGCACAGACATGGCTAATATCGCCATGGTTTATTGCCTACATTTGTAATTGAAAAATGCAACATTTCAATGATAGATTCATAAAATAAAGGTGGTTTCTGCGCCCCCACCCCATCCAAGGCTCACAGACACCCTGAATTCTGCTCAGAGGCCCCAGGCTAAGCAGCCTTGCGTTAAGGAAGCATGCTTTCTCCTCTGAACTTCTCAGCGCCTCTCAGTTCAGGTATTGCAAGAGTGGTGCACAGCCGAAACCGGTTTGGCTCAGTGGATAGAGCGTTGGCCTGCGGACTGAGGGGTCCCGGGTTCGGTTCCGGTCAGGGGCGTGTGCCTGGGTTGCGGGCATGTCCCCAGTGGGAGATGTGCGGGAGGCAGCTGATCGATGTTTCTCTCTCATCGATGTTTCTGACTCTCTATCTCTCTCCCTTCCTCTCTGTAAAATCAATAAAATATATTAAAAAAAAAAAAGAGTGGTGCACAGATGTGTGGCCTCGAGCTAGCGACTCCCCTCTGAGGCTGTTTCCTCATCTGTCAGTGGGGCCCCGTGGCGCCAACCTCACGGGCTGAATGGAGCTGGCTCATCGAGACACTACCCACAAGGGCACAGTGTCTGCATAAGCGTGAGCGACTCCAAGAAAGAATCAAGTACTGCCATTTGGAATCTGCTTCTTTCATTCATTGGAAGGATTCAGGGTTACCTCGAAATAATGTGGCTCTCAGCAGATTACACATTGGAAGGCTTTTTTTTGTATGGTAGACTGAGATGACTATCGTAAACCCTAGGCCAGCACTAAGATGGAACAAGTAAACAACTGGCAAGCAGTAGATTTTAATCCAACCCTACCTATAATGACATGAATGGAATTAACCCGAAGACAAATTAAAAGGTGGAGATGGTCAGATTAGATTTAAAAAGCAACTATATGATGTCTATAAGGAACCTGCTTAGAATATAAAGACATAGATAGGCTAAGAGTGAAATGATGAAAAAATACCCCCCCTTTATTTATTTATTTAATCACTCATCCATATTAATATAGGCGAGCTATTAATTTTTACTTTAAAAAACCCAGCAAGTTCTCATGATAAGCACCGTTTGCTTTCCGCTCAGTCACCATGCCTCAAGCAGGACTTCCGACAGCTGGGTGTGCTGGTCCCAGCGGTGAGGGCAGACACCCTGCTGAGGGAGTGCCCGCATCCACCCCAGTGGCCGGGGACCCCACTTACTGTAGCCCATCAGGGTGAATGCTCCTATGAGCATGATCACAGTCTGCAGCGCATCCGTGTAGATCACAGCGGCCAGGCCACCTGGGGAGGGAGGGGCGAGGACTGAGCTGAGGGTCGGGCAGTCTGACGGGAGGAGTTACTCTGCGTCACAGAGGGACCCTGACAGTCACGAGCCAGCCGTGGAGATCTCTCAGGGTTAACGGTCTGCAAAGATGGCCACAACACCCGCTGCGCATTCCCGTTTTGCAGCTCAGCTCTGCCGCCCCATTGGGGTGGGTGAAGTCGATCTCTCTACCTCCCAAGCACGGCTGGCTCTGACCAATGACATCGTGCAGCTCCAAGCCTCGGCCTCCAGGGGACCTCGGCCCCTGTGCTTGCTCCTCTGTTGCCCTGAGAATATGCTTCCTTTTTTTTTTTTTTTAATACTCACCAGAGAATATTTCCCCCATTGATTTTTTTTTTTTTTTTAGAGGGAGAGAAGGGGAGAGAGCGAGAGAGAAAAACATTTATGTGAGAGAGACACATCGACCAGTTGACTCCCAAATGCACCCCGACTGGACTGGGCGGAGAATTGAACCTGGGACCCTTCGGCCCGGGGTCCAACGCTCTAACCACTGAGCACGCTGGCCAGGGCCACCATGCTGCTTTAAGGAGCCCTGCCTAGCCCGGTGGAGGATGGTCCGCATGGAGGGAGCGCCCAGCTGACCGCCCAGGCAGACCCCCAGCCCTGGGAGGGAGGCCCTCTGGCTCCAGCCGGCTGTTCCCGGTGCCACCTAACAACAGTTCAACGGAGCAGGCGGGACCAGCAAAACCCATCAGCAGACAATCCGTGAAATGAATTGTGGGCAACGATCACCAGTGTTTTAAGCCCCTAAGTTTGCCAGTGTCTGTGCCCAGTAATTGCCAAGTGACACGGGAAGTGGCGGTTGGGCCGCAGTCCCACGCTCTGAATACCTTTGCTTCTAACATGGGAAAAGGGATGCGAGGTCTTCAGAGCCCTAACAGGCTTCCCGCACAGGGTCATGGCGGTTGGCCTCAGAGGATTCAAACGGGTTGCCACCAAAAAATGCTTGTAATAATCCTGGTCAGGGCAGTCTTTCCAGTCTCCTCCCTACCCCTCCTTTCTCCCTCTTCCCTTGTCTGACATAAACACGTGTACCGGTGGGCAAGGTCACTGCAATAAAATCCATGCCCGTGGGTGTGGAGTTCTCCTGTGACGCTCTGTCCTTGCTAACAGGCCCTGCCCCGAGTGCGAGAGACCTGCCTGGCTTCTGGCCCAATGCCCTGCTGTCCTGCCGGGTAGTTCACCGGCTGGAGCGTGGTGAGAACCCCAAGTTTGGTACCACTGACGCCCACCATCATTTCGATGCCAAGGATTAGGGGCATTTATCATGTGCCAGGCGCTGGGCTTAGTATCTCATTCGATCGTCGCTGACATCTGGTGGGTCCCCACCTAGTTCTACACAGTGCGATACAGAGGCGAACAGAACAGCAGGCCGCCAGGCCTCGCCGAGCTCACAGTCTAATGGGGAGACAGCCCCAAACAAGGAGACACGAAGATGAACTGCACCCGTGGCCGGCCCTTCCCTTCCCCTTCCCCTGGGCTCAGGCACACGCTCCTCTCCGTGCTGAAACCTCAGCCGCGATCTTCCGGCAGCAGAGGCCTTTGCGTGGTTCCACAGCACATAGCCCTCGATCCAGGCTCATTTCGTGTCCTTCCAGGCTCCGGTCCCAGCCCTCCGTGTCACTGCCTCGCCTATGGGCGGGGCACAACCTGGACCTGTGCTTGCTCAGCCTCAGCCACATCTATCGCCCTTGCGTCCCGCAAACAGGCAAACCGTGCTCTCTTGTCAGAGCCTGCGATCGTCCTTCCCTCTGCCTGGAGCGCTTCCCCTGCGCCTCATGGCTACTTCCTTCATCACTCAGGTCTGGTTCAACTGTCACCGCAGCTCAACATCCCATGAAGAAACGCTCCCCACCCTCCCCAGCTCACCCGCTGAATTTTCCTGCTTGGCGCTTGCTAGTTGTGACAATACACCTGACATTGTGCGCTGGTTTCCTTGTTCACGCCTCCCATCCCCACGAGCACGTAAGCTCCTTTGGGGCAAGGACTTTGTCTATCTGTTCGCTGCTTCACCCTCCTCCCAGCACGATGTCTGGCATACGGGAGGTGATATACATACAACAGAATAAGTCGATTACACCAATAAGAGGCAGAGAAGGTGAGGATTCAAAACCAGATACTCCTCTACGCTGTGCCAGTCAGAGTCCAGTAGGTCTAGGATGCACGTCTGAGGGGCAGAGATGAGGCTGCCCTGCCTCGGGCTCCAGAATAAGGTGGTCTGTGGCCCAGCCTGTTTAGTGTGTGTGAGACACGGGCGCAGCGCCTGGTGGGTCCTCGATAACCAGGTCTTGAGTAATTGGGAATTGCTGGTGCAGCTGCGCTGCATTTTAAATCCTCTCTCTTA